CTAACTAATTACAAATGTTGTTTTTCAAACGTTTACGGGTTTCAATGGTTAAAAAAACAATAGCGACTTTTTTTATAAACAGAACCAAATACAAAATGTTTTTTTTGGCAGATTTTCCTAGAAATTATAAACAAATTTTCTACCAAATTTAAATACATACATGAAAAATCGAGTAGAAAAAAATTATGATAACCAGAGAGAAAATTTATACACGAGGTTAAATTAGATAAATGATTAAGAAAAAAATTTAATTTCATATATATATATATATATATATATATATATATATATATATATATATATATATATATAGAGAGAGAGAGAGAGAGAGAGAGAGAGAGAGAAAGAGAGAGTGAGTGACGATGGACCGATTCAATAAAAAATATATAAAATTGAAAGCATGGTCATTGTGGTATGTCAAAACTAGTAAGTTTGAACTTGTAAGGGTGATCTAAAAGTTTCATTTTGTTGTGAGTTTGGCCCATTTTATTTTGATTTTTTAATAAAATGATGATTTTGTCCTTGGTGTTTTCTTTTTTCAAATTTTTATTACAAAATCTAAAAAAGAAAAAAAAAAATACTCATCTCTCTCTCTCTCTCTCTCTCTCTCTCTCTCTCGTTTTGACCTCCGGTGAAGGAAGGGAAGGAGGAACCGGCGATTTCACAAATTCCCACCCTCTTCCTATTGAAGCACCACCCAAACACCCTCAGTTGCTGCTATTTCCGATTCCATTTTCCCTATTTTCTTCCTTGACTCATCGGAAAAACGAAACAGAAAGAAGGTGGTTGTTGCCTCCGTTCCAGCCACACCTCCTCCGGTTGTTCAGAAATCCCACGAAACCCCCACCCGTTGTCGTTTCCGTTCTCCTCCTTTTTTTAGTCAGACCGAGCACTGATGTTACTCTTCATTGGTCGACTGTTACCGTTGTTTCCTTTTTCGGTTTGATTGTTGTCGGAGACGACGAAGAGGCCAAGAGGATCGCTGGAAAAACAGGGTCACCTTCTTTGTGATTCCTCAACCACCATCGATCCACCCATGTTGTTGCTTATGATCGTCCTCTTCTTCTCGATTCGCCGTAAGGAGATGTTCAGATCTCGACGACAACTTCGTTCTGCTTCAGATATGTTCATCGATCTGCAGATTTCTTGGGTTCTTGAGTTCGAAAAAATGTTTTTTGTTGTTGGAATCATGTTAGAAAACAAACACATAGAAATGTTTTTGTTCCTGAAATCATCGATTTCTACTGTGCTCTTGATGTTGTGTGTATGAAAGAGATGGAGTGTATTGATTGATTTTTGATTCAGATCACAAAAACAAACATATGTTGTAGTTTTATCTCCAGATCGAATTTTCGAAAATCGAAGCATCAAAGAAATGGATTTGAAACACACACACACAAGATGACAAGAACACATACAAGAAATTTGGAATATGAACACATACAAATACAAGATATGATCTCAAGAACTCCAATTTCTAATTTTTTGTAAGCAATAACAAGTTTGGGTTGTAGCATACAACCTACTAAAGATTTTTCAGATTTCTCTCTCTCTCTCTCTCTCTCTCTCTCTCTCGAGAGAGAGAGAGAGAGAGCGAGAGAGAGAGAGAGAAAGAAAGAGAGAGGGATTTATTTTTGGTTTTTTGTAATAAAAAAATTAAAAAAGGAAAAATACCAATAGCAAATAAGTCTTTCAAAAAAGTTTTGAAAAATTTGGACTAAACTCGCAAAAAAATAAAACTTTTGGACCACCCTTACGAGTCCAAACTTGCTAGTTTTAACATAGAAAAGGAACCATCCTCGCAATTTTATCTAAAAATTAAAAACCATATGGAAGAAATTTATACAAATTGAAAACTTTGACTAAAACTTCAATTTTCCACAAATCATATGCACCATTTTCCGAAATTAGTATATAAAATATAATTTTGGTTTTCATGATACATCCAAGGAAAAATTGCTTTCAAAGACGGTGACTACAAGATTATGGTCCATTTCCACTCTTTCACCTAAGAAAAACCGTCCCTTATATTTTGGATTTATTTAAGCAACCCTTTTCACAAATTTCAAAACCCATCAAGAAAAATCATTTCTCTACATGGATTTATTCACATTTGACCCGATTTAGTGTAAACAACCCCCATAAACGCACACACACAGACAATGATGGAGAAGGTGTATGTAGCAATCGGAAATGACGTACAAGAAGGGTTTGCAACTCTCGAATGGACACTAAGAAAATGGTCTTCTTCTCGAATCTCCATTGTTATCCTTCATGCAGATATTAACAGGGACTTCGTTTACACATACTGTAAGTTCATCGCACAGTTCTCAATTTTGACTTTTTTCTGTATCATTTTGACTCACACGGTTTCCTGATTCAAGATGGAAAACTCCCTGCAAGTTATGTGAATGATGAGAGTGTCGAGTTACTCAATAAGTATCAACAAGGAAAACTGAACAAGATTCTACAGCAATACATAGATTTTTGTGGCGAGGTGAAAACAGAAACTTTAAATATCGAGAAATATGATGAACCAATACACAAACGGATCCTGCAACTCATATCAGGTCTTCGAATATGCAAACTAGTGATAGGAGCTACTTTCTTCAGGTAATCCTCATGGTAATTGTGAAGAAAATTTTTCGGTTATACTTGGGTCGATTATACTCTGTTCTTCGTTTCCACAGGAAATTTGGAAATTTAATAATGGGATTAAAGAAAATTCAGCAAAAGAAGCCTGATTTCTGTGAATTATACTTAATAAGTGGAGGGAAATTGATCTTTTTGAAAGAAGAAAATAATGAGGGATTCATAGAAGACGATCAAGGGGTGATGATAGCTAAATTAAACAAAAAGAGAGGTAGTTTTAAAGGTTGGATCGGAAAAATGTATCCAAAAAACCCAAAAAGCCCTCGGGATTCGCCTTCTTCTTCATCAAGCGCGGATTCACCTTCAATTTGGGAGAGATCTGCAGAAGAGATTGAAAAGTACTTCAACAACTTGCTGGATTCAAATGAAGATGAAGAAGAATCAGAAATTGGGCAAGCTTCAAATGCTATTCTGGAGAACAATGGATTCACAGAACTAGATATACCCCAAGATTTGGTAAATTTCTCATCGTTTTACTGGAATAGTTATGTATTTAGGTCAAAAAAAGAATAAACCAAGAACAATTTTCAGAATTCGAGACAGAAAACTGGATTCCTGAGAGTTAAAATAGGTGAAGCGAAGGACGCCATACATTTGAAGAGAAGAGAAGCCAAAGAAAGCGTTCAAAGATATTCAAAAGCGGAATGGGCGATTACCCTTTGTAATTCAAGGGTAATTAACTCTCATCGATTTCTTATTCGATTCTGTTTTTGATATTACTTTCTTGTATAAATCGAATTCTGGGTTACACAGGTGGATGATATTGAAGCTCGATTAAACGAAGAAACCACAAAACGAGGAGATCTAGAGAAGGAATTAGAAATCGTTACAGAGCAACTCACCGAAACCCGGAATGGAATCGAGCAAACCAGAAGTACGATTGATTCCACCTTCGAAATCCAACGAGAGCTTTCAAACAAACTCAAATCATCCACACTCTCAAAATCCCAATCCGAAGAACAATTAACGAAAATGATCCACAAACGTGTTGACATGATTCAAGAGATCGAAAAACTCCGGAAACAAAAAGACGTCATGCAACGAAGAATCGAGTTTTGCAGAGATAAAGAAGCCATAGAAGCAGTTGCAAGATTGAATCATTTGACCTTTTCTTACAAAGAGTTTACAACCGATGAGATCAAATCAAGCACTGAACACTTCTCAGAACATTCCAGAATAAAATGTTCTGGGGATTTCACATACGTGTATCGAGCTCGAATCAATCATACAACAGTTGCTGTCAAGTTATATGAAGTTTCAGAAGAAGAATTTGGTAGCAAGGTAAAGATTCTAAGCAGATTACAACACCCACATTTGGTAGCCATGTTAGGATTCTGTACAGAGCTTAAATGCATCGTATTCGAGTATATGCACGGAAGTTGTCTCCGGAATGTTCTCTTCTCCAATGGTCGGAAGAAACAAGCTTTAAACTGGAGATCCAGAGTCTGTATTGCAACAGAAGTTTGTTCAGGGTTGACTTTTCTCCATCTATCCAAACCAAAACCCATCGTTCATGGCAATCTGAACCTAACCCACATCCTTTTGGATCGAAATAATGTTGCAAAACTACATGGGTTTCGGTTGGATTCTTCATATAACGAATCTGATATCAGATCTGATGTTAAAGATTTCGGGAGTTTGGTGTTACAGCTGCTAACCGGAAGAAATTGGAGTGGGATTCTCGATGAGGTAAATGAAGCTTCGGTTATGGAGGTATTAGATCAGAGAGATGGAGAGTGGCCATTGCAGGTGGCTATGGAGCTTGCTAGAATAGCAATAAGGTGTTCAGGTGGGAATACAGGGATGACAATGGTGATGAAGGAGATGGAGGAGTTGAGGAAGAAGGCGGATGAAGTTGGAAATAATAAGATTAGTGTCGATTTTGATGAAGAGACTGTTATACCCTCTTTCTTTTTTTGTCCTATATTGCAGGATATAATGAGGGACCCACATGTTGCTTCAGATGGATTTTCGTATGAGCTTAGTGCTATAGAGAGGTGGTTTGGAATGGGGCATAATACGTCGCCATTGACAAACTTAGAGCTAGAACACAATCGGCTTACTCCTAATCATATCCTTCGTTCTTTGATTCAAGATTGGCATAACAAAAGATCGATTTCTGTATCATAAACTATATGTAAATGTAAGTGTAAGTGTAACTATACAAAATGTATAAATGGAGACATGGAGTTTCTTGATCTTGATCATGATGATAATTATGGTGTTATGATGACAATTGATTAAGAATGTATGCATGTAATGTTTGAGATTAAATAAAATAATCAAGAATCACAATATTCACAATCCAACAAGAAAAATACCACACAATTAAGTTCAAACTTGTTCGATCATATCAAGTTAAAAGCAACATTTCTTCTAAACCTCGCTTTGGATCTCTTAATTTCAATAAGCTTATCATGAACACACCAAGGAAAACTCAAAAAATGATCACGTCTCATATCCTCATTATATCGACCCCAATAATCCGGATGATATGTCACATGATACCAAGCAGATGCTTTTGCATAAACATCATCATCATCATCATCATCATCTCCAATTTCCACATTATGATCATCATTGATCCCCTTCTTAAACCAATTCCTAGCTTCTTTTCTCAAAGACCTCACAGCCAAACCAACCACTTCAGCATCATTCCTCCTATCAAAAGACCTTGACATTTTCATGATACTACCACTTAATAATTCAGCCTCGGTTTTAATCCCATAATAATCCATCAAATTACCCAATTTGTAATCATATTCGGTTTTAAAATCAAATGCTTCGTCGATATAATACTCAAACCTATTTATTTCCATGTCAGCATCGTATGCTTGTCTTGCCACGTCACGTGTGAAGGGGATGACAAGGCTGTTATGTGGGGCCATGTGTTTGACTTCGCGAAAGAGTTTACCAATTACATTTTGGGATTTGTATGTGGTTTTGTCTGGTTTTTCCATGAAATCTGGGTACTCTTTGACACGGAGATTTGCAGAAATTTCTGTTGGGACACCGGTTTTTGGAAAATCGACGGCTATTGAAAAAAGCTTTGCCAGTTCTACACACGGTTTCAACATTGCTTTTTCGGGTTCTCTGTCTGCAAAGACAGTGTGGGCATTTGCAATGATTCCTAGACTGTCGTTGACTATGTAGTTTGTGAAATACTCCTCCACCTCCTAAAAATTAAAAAAAATAAAAAATAAAAATGAAATATATTCATGTTACATATGTAGAAGTTAGGGTTGGTTTGTTTATTTGTTTGGATGGAATGAAATGAAATGAAATGGAGTTAGTATTGGACTAGAATGAAGTACAATTTATAGTTTTAACTCTACTATATGTTGTTTTATTTACAAAATTAAAAGAAACGAACATAAGAAAAACTCATTAAAACACAAATAAGATTACACTAAATTACATATACCTTAAGTTATATTTAGTAAAATAGTATTGTTGTTTTGATCAAGAATCATGATTTTCGTAACCGACTTTGTGTACATGATAGAATCAAAAGACACAAGCACGGATATTGGTTTCCGAGATTATAGTTTCATATTTAGAAACAACGGATTTATTTAAATTGTTTGGGTAGTTTAAAAATTACTATATGCTTATGAATTAACTGTATTTTTTTAAGTTTTAAAAACACTACGTAATTAATACAGTTTGGTATTTTCGTGATTAATTCTTCATTAGAAATGAAAATTAACAAAAAGAAAAAAATCAACATTCCATCAGGAATGGTCCATTGCATTCTATTAGTCAAAACAAACCGTTATTTTTCGATTGCAATGGAATGAAGAATTCCATCGTGCAAAAACACTACGTTACTATCAAATATTTAATTTGAAAAACTTATACAATAGGAGTTAAAATGTAAAAGTATATGTACCTCAATAGTAACATCATGATCAAGTTGCATAGTTGGTGTGGGGTTATAGTCCATCGGTTCAATTTGCTTCGGCGGAATTAGATCCGAGTCCCAACAAACAAAGTAAATATCTCCATCCAAATCACTCCCCGAGCACTCATTTGGATGAGGCCTATTAAAAAAAAGGAAAACATATTTATACATATTCATAAAACAATATATAAATTTAACTTGAATTATATTTTTACCTATGCTCTTTTTGTGGGAAAACAACACAATCCACCATATGATGTAACCTTGGAACATCAACAGCCCTCAAAACCCGTACATCACCCGGATGCAAACATGGATTTTTAGCAACAACCAATTTCCCAACAACAACTCTACACCTATTACCACCACCATTATCATCATCATCATCATCATCATCATGCATCGTCCTTCTTCCTGCTTCAGAAAATTGTACAAAAACTTCACCATATTCAAGTGTTCGAGTTTCATCCAAACATCCCATCATTGTCCTTCCTTTAGGGACATAAATCCGTGTTTTTGTACGCAATTCTAACAACTTTGTTGCACGAAAAACTTGCAACATCATCGAAAGAAATGGTTCAGCATTAGGCTTATACCCACACGAAAGCATTTCTTTCATAATATTTGTGTTTTCACTAGGTGACATTAGCTCTAAAGCCTCTTGTGCCTTCATTGGCTCCCTTAAAACCGCATCTAATAAGTCCACGACTTCTTTTTGCTTTTTCTCAAAAACATGATCTTTGACTCCAAGAGTGGAAAGAAGCGTGATAAGTTGGCGATTCATGTAACAAGGTTGATACTTGCTTATTGCAAGAATATCTAACTTTGTGTTTTGCGATTCAAATTTACACATGCTATTTCTCAAAGATAATTTCATCGATGAAGTGGGGTCCACAGCCACGACACCTTTATACCCACCATATCGAATTTGAAATGCGGATGGAATAAAGTCATATCCACATTTAATGGATACCCTTTTTGCAAATTCAGCCGATATTTTCCCAATTCCATCAGAAAAAATATATTTCACACCATTTCTTATAACTCCCACATCAGGAATCTTTAAAACTTCATGATGTGCGACACTTAAACTTTCCTTTGAAGAGCCTAAAGATTGACCGAGTCTTGCAGCGTATTTTGCAACATTTTTTATACTACTGAAATCACCCATCCATTCGCGTATATCACCAGCCTTTAATCTACCATTTGAAGCAAACATCCATACAGAATTATCACGCAATTGACTTGATGAAAAAGCAAGAAATTCAAACTTTTTGTTTCCAATAACTATTCCATTTTTTAAAACAGACAAAATCCTCTTATAAATCCCGGTTCTTGTTTTCCCAAATATATTATTCGCACGTGGAGATAAATCCGTTGAATAAAGTTTCTCCAATTCTTAATCAAGAAACGACACACGAATAAAATTATCGACATATTGTGCAAAATGGCGTAGAACACGATTAGACACATTGACTTCTGGCCCACAAAAATAAACTTTTGATGGTGTAATTTGAACCCTTCTCACATACACAAGATCAGAATCAAGTGATATAGCGGGGAATGATCGTAGCCTATTATTGTTTTTGTATTCATCTTTTATCCACCTTACAGGATCATAACAACAATCTTTAACATAGTAGAGTTTTTCAAGAACATATTCTATAGAGCCCATGTGTCTTCTTTGTGGGTCCAATAACTCAAAGAAACTAGAATCAAGTAGTGGGCCCGGGATGCAACCATGTTGAACCAATGCACAAATCTTGAACACTATATTGTATGGGAGATAAAAAGTGGGACCCACTATTGGGACTAGATCCAAGTTTTTGGAGAAACTATGGCCTTTCATTAACTTGAATTGACGATTATTTTCTTCATAATATGGGAAATAACGAGAAAGATTAGGGACCTCAACACCATGTGGAAGTTCCAAACATAAATGAGAAGATTGCCCGATTGAAGAATATGGAGTAAAATCAGTCGCCCTAATCCACTGATCATCAGGAATGTCACTATAATAGTTATGAATGTCTTCTTCAGCTTTTTGAAATATTCTAGGAGCACCATAAAGCTATAAAAAAAATGATTTAGTCACTATAAGATAAAGATAAAAATATAATACTCTAATCAAACTAACCTGAATAACAACAAATTTTGTAGTATTGCCATGTGAACGATGTAGTTGAACTTGGCAAATATTCTCATAAGAGAGTTGCAACTTGTAACAAGTAGTAGAATATGAAATAACAAAGTATAACCTTCTTAATCCAAATCCAAACTTCACTGAGGTATTTTGCATCCTACATAACACATACAAAATCTCCTTTGACACTTGGCAACCAAAATAAAGAGTAGCACCTTCCATCTCAAATGCAAATTGTTTGGGCCTTTGAACTATGTCACGATCCATTACATAAGCCTTTAAATACGTTGTACCAAATCTCAAACGCTTATGATTAGCAAGATCTAGAACATATTCAACTCTTTCTCTTGTTGTGAATTGTACTTTTGCATATGATCTTGACCCTCGATTTGATTTTTTAACCTCTAGTGCATGAATAGTCCCAAGGCCTGTGTAGTTTTCTAGAGATATTTTGATTACATCTGCTGATTCTAAAGTGGGGTACCCATACACTTGAATTGTGTTACTCATGTTGCTTTAGCTGCAATGTGATTGTATTGCATATAATTAATAACCACAACTACATTGAAATCATACAAAAGGCCAAAAAAAAACATATATATATAGATCACACATTTTACTAAGTGAAATTCGTTCTCATATCCTTAAGATTCGATCTGTAAATTTAATTTAGTAGCAGTTAGACTAGAAAAAAGAAGGAAAACAATAACGCTAGCATGAAAATAGACTTAACCTTAATATGCAATGGAAGAGCGATTCATAGAGTAACGAAGATGAAGACGATTTGTGTATAGCTTCGGGTTTGTTCATGGATGTACATCCACAGTGGATAGATAGGGCGACTTTGATCTTCAATTTGAAAGTCTTTTTCTAGAATATTCCCATCGGTTTCCTTCTACAACTATGGGTCCTATATATTATTGATGATACCTTAATAGTGTAAAAATCTTCAATTTAAATGTATTTTTACTTTTTTTTATTCGCTTTTATCTATAACCATATTTTAATTATCTTTATGTTTTTTGTTTTTATATTAATCTTTATCTTTTTTAATTATATTTCTCATTTATATAACATTCTTTTACGTAATGAAAATATATTTATAATAAGTTTTTTACTAAATAGGTGTAAACATTTTCATTCATGGATACGTGTAGTATATATTTCTCCAATATTATATTTTGGCACTTAATTAATGGGTACTCCGTACTTATACACTTTAATACTATATTTCTTTCATTTTATACATCACTTATCTAAAATTAATAGACGATTACGTGGAAACATAACACATATTTAATGTTATCGTTTTATTATATGATAGTTTGCACTTATATATTTTATCTAAATAATAGTTTATTTTCAGTTTTTTATTAAAAATGTTCGATAGATAAAATAACTATTTAAAAGATGTAGTGATTAAATTGTTCATAATGAATTGTTTGCACTGTGGTATTTTTAGTATTTATTAAAATAGTACAATAAGAATATTTTTGAAAAATAGAAGAATATTTTTGAAAAAAAATAAGGATCCTACTAATTGGACCCCATATTTACTTATAAGACCTCTTGTAATTATAGTTGTTTAGTCAATTTTGAAAATTTAACTTTGACTTTGAAAATTTAATATTTTTAGCTTTTTTACATCATTGATATCTACAAATATCAAACATTGAAAACTGTATACTCTTAATTCCTGATTAATTTTCAACTAATCCAACAACAACACATCTAATATAAAATCAAAACATTGTAAACAAACAACAACAACAGCTTCTCATATTAACAAAAGGTAAAATGAAAATTAATGTAAATATATTTTAACACCTCCAGTGAACACCACCACCTCCGGTCCGACCACCGGTGTTCCAGCCGTCGATGAATGTGTGAGAGAGATCGGAAAATGAAAGTGAGAGAGAGAGGGAGAGAGAAACTGTTTGGTGGTGGTGTTCTTCGATCGCCATTCTCTTTGCCGAAGATGAGGGGCGATGATAGTGGCTTCCCTTCGACCGTCAGCTTCCTTCGACCTCCATTCCTTCGCCGCCCACTGCCACTTCCTTCGACCGCCCACTAGCCTCGCATCTCACCATCGAACCCACTGTAAATGAAGGCCATTTATCTTCCCTTCCTCTTCTGCATCGACGACCACTGCCGTCATCCCTTCCTCTTCTGCGGCCGAAGGTAGCCACCAACGATGCTCCCTTTGCAAGTGTTGCTGCCGGATGTTGCTGCCGATGGAGCTGATCTTGAGGATGAGAGATTTGGCTCGATCTTGAAGATCGCGGCCATATAAGAAATTTAGTATTTTAGTGTTTTTTTTAATTTATATGTTGGTTTAGGGTTTTAAAAGTATTGGGTTGGGTTTAAAAAATTAGGCTTTTTTAAAAACGAAAATTGGTTTTTTTTCTTAAAAAAAATAATTCTTTTTATATAAAATTTATTTTAATAAACCTTTTTAGTATTAAAATTTTATAAAATATTTATTTTTATTTGCTTTTAATTTTTTATATTTTTTCAATATTTTAATTATTTATCTGATGTGTTTTTTTATTATTTTTTTATTTTTTAGAGATATTTAAGTTTTTAGGAATCAACTTGTCGGCTAGAGATAAAGATTTTTCTACAAAAACTTCGGCATTTTCCACCAGTCAGGTTATATAATTATATCAATTACGATGCTTTCAGATACAATATATATACTAACTCACTTGAAATTTGATTGCAGAAGTTCAAGTCTCGTGAGGAATTATTAGAGTGGACACAAAACACCGCACATTCTTTAGGATATGTCATTGTTACTAGAAGATCAAAGGCATATGGGAATGACTTCGTGCATACAGTCATACTTATATGTGATCGTGGTAGAGAGTATAAACCTAAAGAGTATACAAGTAGAGCATCTGGAAGCAAAAAGACTAATTGTCAATTTCAATTGGAATGAAAGTATTCAAAACAACATGATAAATGGACACTAAGGGTAATATGTGATGAACATAATCATCCACCGGCACAACATATGGAAGGTCATCCATTTGCAAGACGGTTATCAGTCGATGAGACTCGTTTGGTGGCTAATTTAACAAGAAAGAACGTGGCACCACGTGACATCCTGTCAGCATTGAAGGTTCAAAACGAAAACAATGTGTTGACAATTAAAACAATATACAATGCACAACAAAAGATTCGGATGCACAAGCAAGCAGGAAGAACTCCAATGCACGTTCTTATGTCCCTTTTACACACCAATGATTATGTCTATGAGTTTACTACAGACGATTCAAATGAGTTAGAAAATTTATTCTTCGTTCATCCAACGTCTTGAAAGATATGGCGTGCATTTCCACGTGTGTTGATAATAGATGCCACATATAAAACCAACAAATATAACAAGCCGTTGGTGCAAATTGTTGGTGTTACATCAACTCAAAAGACATTCTCTATAAGCTTTGCCTTTATACATAGAGAAAATGAGGCCAACTATACTTGGGTGTTAAATTGTCTAAATTTGATGCTTGATACGTGTATGCACCCACGTGTAATAATCACAGACAGAGAGTTGGCACTCATCAAGGCATGTGAAACAATTTTTCCTGATGCTGCCCGATTACTTTGTAGATGGCATATTGAACAAAACATTTTGAAGCATTGCAATAAAAGTATCACGTTGGAAGATGATCGACGCTCTTTTAGATCATTATAGAACTTACTAATTGATTCTCCAACATTGATGGATTACACGAAAAACTACATGCGACTTCAATCACTGTTGATAAAATATCCACGTAAGCTTGTTTTTTAGCTATATTTCTAAATCATAACCTTCATATTATTATTTATTTAAGTATTTGTTAACTATATTTCTAAATCACAACATTCAGGTGTTTTGAAATACATAGAAGATACTTGGTTGAACAACTACAAAGAAATGTTTGTATCTGTTTGGATTGATCACCATCTTGTTTTGGAAACAACACAACCAATAGATTCGAGAGTGCACATGCCAATTTAAAGAGATTTTTGAACTCTGCAAGTTCTAATCTTGATAGATTTGTGCAACGAATTAATGAAATTGTGCAATCACAACTCACTTCAATCAATGAAAGCTTTGAAAAAAGCTTAATTTTCCGATATAAGCATCACAATTTGTATTGCTTCGGGTTACTAAGAGGTTCTGTTTCAAACGAAACTCTTGATATAATAGTAGGAGAGCTCCAAAGGTTAAATGTGTCAAAGTTAGACTCCTCAAATTGTGGTTGCAAACTCCGTACTAGTTGTGGGTTACCATGTGCTTGCATGCTTTCTGTTTACTTAAGCTCATGTTAGTATGTTCAATTACAACATATATAAATTTTTAAATATTACAAAAATATTTATTTTGTATTTTAATACAGGTGAAGAAATACCCTTGGATTTAATAGATATCTTTTGGAGAAAGCTTAGTATTTCTGATACGAAGCCTGAAAAAAAAAAGGCAATATTTGTTGCGACGATAAAGTTGAAAAGTATAAAGAAAATTTCAACAAGCAGACAGAAGCAGGAAAAAAATTTATTTGAAAAAACTAAAAGAAATATACGATCCGCGCACAATTGATGTTGGAGAATCCACAGTTCAAAATAAGACTCGCGGACGGCCGAGTATGAAGAAACAACAAAAAAAGAATGTCAACCCTCCAAATTAAGCTCCTCCTAGATGTAACGACTCTACCAGATCAGAGTTCATTGGGTTGGATTTTAATAAAGAACCTGAAAGGCATAATTATTCGTACGACATTGACTTAAATGAAGAACCACGAATGCATGATCCATTCCTAATGAAGAGTATTCCTGATGTATTTCATGATTACATCGACAAGATACAAGATGTACTCGGTGATGGAAACTGTGGGTTTCGAGCGGTAGCTGTTAGTCTGGGGCACAGTGAAGACCAATGGCTATACATTAGGCAACAATTGCTTGAAGAGTTAGAAAGTCAATTTTATGCATACCAACAAGTTTTTACTGATGGGTTCAATGAGGTATACGAGTCTTTGTATTGGTTTGAGTCACCTGCATATTTGCGACATTGGATGATTATGCCTTTGACTGGTTACTTGATTGCCAACAAGTTTGGTGTGATTGTTCATTGTCTAAGCCATGAACAATCTACAACCTGCTTCCCTCTTTGGAGAGGTTGGATTTTAATAAAGAACCTGAAAGGCATAATTATTCGTACGACATTGACTTAAATGAAGAACCACGAATGCATGATCCATTCCTAATGAAGAGTATTCCTGATGTATTTCATGATTACATCGACAAGATACAAGATGTACTCGGTGATGGAAACTGTGGGTTTCGAGCGGTAGCTGTTAGTCTGGGGCACAGTGAAGACCAATGGCTATACATTAGGCAACAATTGCTTGAAGAGTTAGAAAGTCAATTTTATGCATACCAACAAGTTTTTACTGATGGGTTCAATGAGGTATACGAGTCTTTGTGTTGGTTTGAGTCACCTGCATATTTGCGACATTGGATGATTATGCCTTTGACTGGTTACTTGATTGCCAACAAGTTTGGTGTGATTGTTCATTGTCTAAGCCATGAACAATCTACAACCTGCTTCCCTCTTTGGAGAGGTCCTGAAGAGTTTCAATCTCACCGAAACATTACAGTGGCACTTGTAGGCAGACATTATATTTCGGTGTCTTTAAAAGGAAATTACCCAATGCCTCCAACCACAACATATTGGAATGCTCATAAAAGCTCGTCTGCATCTTTCTGGCAAACTATGTGTTGGTCGCGTTTCGAATTATACAATCAACATAGACCTCGTAGTTCTGAAATACCTTGGATACATATCAAGGATTAAGTATGAATGTAATTGAACTCTTTTGATATGTATTGCTTTTAAATTTTTGTTTTATTATTAGTATGTCATATTTGTAGTCTTTTGTTATAATATTTTTAAATAAAACAATTTTAATAAATTACATACAAATAACCTAAAAATATATATATATAAAAAAAATTATATTTAGCCTATTTTATTTTGCAAGTTTAATAACCTAAAAAATATATAAAAAAATTTATTTTACCTATTTTATTTTGCAAGTTTAAAAAAATATATATATAAAAAATTATATTTAACATATTTTATTTTGCAAGTTTAAAAAAGATTATTAAAATATTTTGACTTAATAATTATAAATAAAAGACATAAAATTATTATGTAATGATGATTATTAAAAGATAATTATTAATATAATGATTTGTTTATTTGAGGAAAAAAGTAAGGTAATGATTAGGAGGATCCTTTAAAACTAATAAAGGGTCTAATTAGATGAACCAAAAAATAGAATCTAATACAAGCAAACAAAAAAATTACTATAAAAAACGTAAAAATTATAAAAATGTTGAAATGCATGTAAAAATAATTACCAAATATTTTTTGTTCTCAAACTTTGATTTTAAAAATGAATATAAAAATATAAAATCAAAACGATGCTAATATTCCTATTTCAATATTATTAAGGGTGTAGATTTTTTCCAGTGGGTTCACAACATTACAGCCAAATGGGATTCCTCTTGGTTTAGATAGCCCTCTATTTCTCTTCTATATACTTGTACAATATGCATCGATTAATAGGATAAATGACTTGTAAAATAACAAAGAATAAAGAATTAGAAGTGTATAAAAAATATCATTGAATTTCTTTTTATACACATATTGTCAATCAATTATAATAGTTGTGCATATGACCATTAAACTTCATATTTGTTCAAAAAATATCATTATGTTACCGGTAGTAGTAGATCATCAGGCTACTGATATGGATTTTATTGTTTATTATGTACATATTATACCATTAATTCTTTTTTTTTTTCACACATTTTACCATTAAAATTTTTTATATACATTTTACCATTTTATGTCAAAAAGGGTTTGCTTTTTTGATAATATACTAACTTCTCCTTTTTACAAGGGCATTATACTTATAAAAAATAAAAAAATAAAAAAAAAAAAACTAATGGGCCGAAATTCATAAACGACCCAAAATACTTGATCCAGTCCAAAAACAGCCTTTCTATTCTAAGTTCTAACCCATTCTGGATTCTGGAAGTAACTAGCGAGATTTTCTGTCTGCCGCCTTTCACCTGTGTCCCTTTGTGTCTGTTGCGGGAATAGAGGAGGGAATGAAATCAGTCATTCCATTCCAGATTAAAAATTTATTCTCGAAGAATCGTTGTTGAAAACTCGACTGAAAACTTCAATGAGGAATTGCTGTTGAACAATCAACCGAAAACTCCATCTCGCATCTACCAATACAAAGTCACAGGTATGTGATCGCTTCTTTCGTCGTCTTTGATAATTCCTTGCTCCAATCTAGTCTGTGAAGACGTGAGCTATGTTTTCAACATGTTTGTATTTTACATGCATATGAAGTGTTTGATGAAATGACTAAATAAAACTATTATTCTAAGTTTTAAGAAAACATGTCATGTAACATCTGATAAAAACACAACAATACATCAGATTCCAAATTGAACTCATAGCTGTCTTACGCCTAATAAATAACCTCAAAACCTTAAAGGTCACTAACTGTTTCTTTCTTTCATTCATTTTAAGCACACTTGTGTATCCAATTGAGAAAACAATACTGTGTTATTTTTTGATTGTTATTTTCAAACACAGTGGTTGGGTAGCCATTCAATTGCCTGAAAATTGCAAGATATTGTAATCCCTAATTTGCATGTGTAGATTTGGTTTCTTCACGTATTAAACTTTTCTCATTGATTCTGTTTTACAGTTTGGTTGCTGTAATCATAAGCTGTAATAACAATGTCAGAATCCGACCCTTCATACATCTTCTCCCAAAAAAACTCTAGACTCCCCGAAGACACTGTCTTCTTCACCATATTCCCGGACTCCTCCCTTTCACCAGACCCCAAATCCCAAAATTCCAAAACTACCCTTCTTCTCTCCCCTCATCTCCAGTCTCTCCACCTCCAAATCCTCCAGTATCTCTCCCAATACACCACCAATTACATATGGCAGCACGAACCCTTCACTTTCTCCCCCTCTACCCAATCACCCTGTTCCTTTTGCCCCTCAAATCACATCCCTCATCTTCATGGAAAGCTCAGATATGGAGACAATCTTGAAGATGAATGGTTCATTGTCTTTTTACTCTTTCAAGCCTCACAAAAATTCCCAAATCTTTCAATCCATGTATGGGATACAGATGGTGAGTTTCTCCTAATCGAATCAGCTTTCCACCTCCCAAAATGGGTCAACCCTGAAACCACCACCAACAGAATCTTTATCAGAAATGGAAACCTACACATCATCCCCAAAGATCATTTCCCTTCAAATCCCACTTTAGACAATGCTCTTTCATATCTAATCAAACAAGAAAACCAAACCAAAGCTCCAAATTCAGTCCAATTAGCCATAAAGAATCGAATTGGGGATTACCCAGAAAGAGCAATCAAGAATATGCATAAAGTTAGGGTTAGGGTTCCAATTCTAATAGCTCAAATCTTGAAACACGAACCGTGTTTAATCTCATTAGCAGTTGAAGGGTTTTATGATCGCGATATAGATTCAATGAAGTATGCTGCAAAAATGGAAAGATTTTTGCCAAATAAAAGCTCTGATGAGATTGTTGAAGTGTCAGTGACAATGTCACGTGCAATGTATGCACAATTGATGCAACAAACTTTTCAAGCACCAAAGTGTTACCCAATGCCAGCTAGGAGTGAGAGTGGGTACACGTCAGCAGAGTTGGGTATGAAGATAGCTTGTGGGTTCGAGATGATTTATCAGATTAAAAAACAAGAAAAGTTACAAGGAAAAGGAAGCACATGGGAGGTTTATAAAGAGAGTTTGGAAAGAAATGGATACTTTGAAGGGTTAATTTCTGGTTCAAAAGAGTATAAAAGATTAATGGAGAATGCAGAAAGTTATTACAAGAAAAGTTCATTGCATTCTAGAGAAAGGTATGTTTTAATGGATAAATTTAAAAGTTTTATATATATTTATTTATAAATTGGTGATTTTTGCAGTGAAATTATGAGTGCTCCTGTGAAGCGTATAGATGATATCATTGCTGATTGTAATGTTTCATTAGATGAGTTTAAAAATCAAGAAATTCCTCCTTCAGATGATGATTCTTGGCTTTATAATGGTGAGGATGAATTAAATGCTGCTCTTCTTGAGAGACAACAGGAGATGGAGTTTTATGATATGAAAAAGAATAAAAAAAAGAATAAAGAGGATGGTGTGGGTCCCTCGTGTTCTTCAGATTTAAATGATTATGATCTTGGTGATATTGCAAAATCAATGCAAGAATTTGTTCAGAAGATGTCAAGCTTTGAAGGAGCAGAAGTTCCTGGAAACAGGCAAGTTTTTTTTTTAATCCGTTTATTAAATAAATCTTCATGTTTTTTTTTTTTTTTTTTTTTTTTATATAAAATTCTTTGTTTTTTGTTACTTTTAGAAATTCGGAAGATGTGGATCTGGATGTGGAGCGATTTATGAAAGAAATTGATTCGGTTATGAATCCTTCAAATGGAGATGAAGAGCTTGATTCGGATATGGATTTGGGTAAGCTTTCTATTAGACATGGACCATTTTTGTAGTTTTTTCAAACACATGGACCATTTCTGTAAAAAAAAATCTGCGCAGGGACCTTTTCAGTAAATTACAGTGAGAATTTTTGTAATGTATTTTCTACACAGGGACCAAACCTACCAACATGTGCAAGTCTTAAACATATAGACTATTTCTGTAAAAAAAATCTGCACAGGGACCTTTTCTGTAAATTACAGGGGCAATTTTTGTAATGTATTTTCTACACAGGGACCAAACCTGCCAACATATGAAAGTCTTAAACATATAGACCATTTCTGTAAAAAAAATAATATGCACAGGGACCTTTTCTGTAAATTGCAGTGACAATTTTTGTAATTTATTTTCTACACAGGGACCAAACCTGCCAACATATGAAAGTCTTTGAACATATTAGACCATTTATGTAAAAAAAAAGTTCTGCATATGGATCTCTTCTATAAATTAAAGGGACAGTTTTTTGTAATTTATTTTCTACATAGAGACCAAACCTGCTAAGATACAAAACTGTTGTTGACAAAATATCTAATTAGATATATATATAATAATATAATTGCAAATTGTGGCAGATGATGATGAAGACATTGAAGATGATGATGATGATGAAGATGAAGAAATGGATTTCATGAATTCTTATTCTGATGTTTTGAGTCAGGAACTGAAGAGGACAACACTGGATAAAAGTTTTGTTCGTGCAAATGCAAATGAGAAGGAGTTAAAGAAGGATGAGGTTTGTTTGTTAAAGTTTATAGAATTTTGGATAATTTTTGTACAAGTGATATTGATGGGGGTTGTTTATGAAAAATTTCAGGGAACATCAAAAGTGGAAGAAGAAAAAGAAGAGGAGTTTAGTCGTGTGGATGTGGATGTGAACCTTGTGAAGAGTTTGCTTGGTTCGTTTTCTTCTCAAGAGGGGCTACCGGGTCCTGCCTCCAATTTGCTTGGACTTATGGGCCTTCAACTTCCACAAGATCATAAGGATAAATGATTTTAGAAACTTTATTTTATATGATATTTTGTATAATACTACACATACCTTAATTACTAGGCTGCAGGTTTTGAGATTTTTAACTCGTTATTTAATTAGAGTCTGGTTATACTGTGACCAGAAATCATTCTGTTAACATTTGTTGTGTGTTATAATTTATTTAAGATAGACAAAATTGCAAAAATGGTCCCTATGGTATGATTTCTTTGGGGTTTCAATCCAAATCTTGATTTTTTTGGATTTATGGTCCTTTTAGCCTAATTTGTACGTAGAATTGATCTTACAACTTAACTTCCGCTAAGTTGTTGCTGTTAACCCTTGATGTGCCTCCCACATAAGGGTATATTTATCTTTTCACTTCTAAACGACTATTTTTGCACTTGAAAAAAATATATTCCATTTAAAAAAAAAATTATACCTATTTATTTATTTTAATATTAAAAAAATAATAAAAGAGGTCTCTCGTTTTGTGGTAAACCTAAAGAAACACACATTACACACCATTTCCCTGCCACAAACCTTCAAGTTCATCTCGCCATCACAGACCTGCCATCACGAAATTTGTCTTGGTCAGATTCGTGTGGTTTCTTGTTGAGTTTGAATCTTGGACCCAGTGAAGCTTTCTATGAAACCGTTACGATGAACATGGACGAGTTCGTTGCCACGTACCGATCTCCTACCCTTGGAATTTTGCTTTCTTTTCTCTCGAATTAGGTCAGATTAGGGGCAATGGATGGTGGAGATGATCCATGAGGAAAGTGTCATTTGTAATGGTGGTTTTCAAGGACAAATGACATGGTTTATTGGCTGAGGAAGTGACTAATAGTTGTAACAGAAGGGAAGAAGAAAGATCCTCATTTTGGGGTCTCGATCACACACACTCGCTGTGTATTCTGATTGTACATTTGGGTAAGATCCATTGCTTGTAAATGGATGGCTCAACTTCTGCAAATTAAGTGGCTTTAACTCTAGGTATGGCTGATGAGTGGTGTTTGGTTGTAAAAAGGGTTGTAGATTGATCAGTTGGTGCATGATTTTGTGTCTTTAGTTCTCTGCAGCGATCACTACAAATAACCATTAGTGCACATCTCGGATGGATGAAATTATCAGGCAGATAGAATCTGCCTGAAATATGAATGATTTTTAAATGTATGTGAACAAAAGTTGATGATGGCATTAAGGAGATTGTCGATATTGATTACTTTGTGACCCTTTGGTGATCACTTCGAAAATTAATCAGAGTGAAGGTAATTTCTTCTGATGGATTGAAATTTCTAGTTTTTGTTTAATTCCTAAGACCATCTCCAACCCATCTTCATTTTTCCCCATAAATTGAGTAAAAAATAAAGTAAATAGTGTTTCATCTCCAACCCTACTCTATTTTCTACCCCATTTTTTATCCCAAAAAGTATATTCCTAGAATATTCTATTTTTATAACTTATATATATTATCAAATACACCCCTCTACTAATTAAACACTATATTTATGATTGATTAATATAAATTAGTATATAACATGATATTATAAATATTATAAATTGCATTTAAATTATAATTAGTAGATAAAATAAACTACAAATGTATAAAATAAAAATGAGAGGGATTAAAATTGGCAACCAAACTTCACCTCTATTTTTGAAGATATGAATAGTATTCCCCCATATATAGGGGAATACTATTCATATCTCAAAAAATAGAGGTGAAAATAGGGTAGAGTTGGAGAAAAATGGGAGAAGAAATGAAGGAAGAAATGGAGTTTGAGGATGAGTTTGAGATGCCCTAAAATACAAAAATGATAGTTAGGGCATATATGATGTTTCAGAGTTTTAAATTCTCTAGCTCGCTTTCTGCATTCAGATCATCAATTGTTCACGCTTCAATTCGTTCAAAATCTCTATTTCTTTTTTTATCTTTCGATTTCCAAGTTTATTAAACAGATTCACGTAGTTGAGTGAAGAAATTAGTTATGTGTGTTCACTTCTTGTATTTTCCTTTTTTTTTTTTTTTTTTCGTAACAATTTCAAGTCACTTTACAGTGATTCCAAAACGTTTGTAATATTTCAGACTTCAAAAATCATTATCGATGTTATAGATTTTGTAAGCTGATTTATCAGTAAATTGATCATTGTTGATGGATTTTGTTTGTAAGCAAGGTGTTATTATTGTTTTAATGGAGAAAAAGAACACTATTATGATGTAATTTAGATAGAAAATTCCGATATAATGCTCTTTTTTGCATCTACATATCAAGTTTTTGTCTAAAACCATTAAAGCTCACAAGCCATGGTGGCTCATGTAAAGGCATCAAAAAGGAAGAACGGTGGTGAGGATCTGACGGTTTTGAAGAAGATGATGTATCTTCTTGGTATGAGAGAGACCTCTTTTATTTTTTAATTAATAAAATAAATAAATAGGTATTGATTTTTTTTTTTAAATGAGATTTTTTTTTCAGGTGTAAAAATGGTCACTTAGAAGTGAAAAGACAAATACACCCTTATGTGGGAGGCGCGGAGGGGGTTAGCAGCAACAATTTAACGGAAGTTAAACCGGAAGATCAATTCTACGTACAAACTAAGCTAAAATGACCATTAATCCAAAAAAACCAAAGTTTGGTTTTGTCTTTAATATATTAGTTTGACAGCTATTTTCTTGTTGTGTTTTTTTGAAGCTTTAGAAAACGATTTGGGCTTGTGATTTAAATGTAAATATATCAACTTCTAGAAGTACGTATAAATGTGGTTTATCGAGAAAAGTATAATATATGGATGACGGTCAAGGTAGCCACAAAGAATCAACATTGACCAAACATCTATAGTATTTGAAGAGAGCATATTAATTAATTACCGACATTAACTAGTGTTATTCCTGTCCGGTAGACTTTATAACTGATGTAATAAAAAAAGATTGACTTCATTTTTTTTCTATATAATCATTTTGTAGTTTGTTCTTATATCAACATTGTACAATAACAAATCTACCCAATTGAACAACATATGAATGAATAAAAAAATAACAATCAATTAAAACACAAATGTATATATAATTTGTGATTAGTTACATGGTGCATCAGTGACTTGTAATGTGGAAATGTTCCTTCCTATTGATGATGATTTCCAGGAATTTTGTACGGAAAACATGGACACAAGGACTCTAATTTTTAGCATTCATATGCAACATATCAAAGTATGTTGCTGCTTTTAACATCTATTCCAAACTTAAAAACTGGAAAAAATAAATAAATATAAAAGGCACGGCTAAATAATTTAGTGTTTGCATAATACCAATAAATGTATATTGTTATAGACTCCAACAAATGGCAGAAAATCTAGATGTTTATAGACTTGATCACTTAATTAATAATAGTCCACATTTACTTGACATTTCATAAAACCAAAAGAAAAAAACATAAGAAATCTAAGATGAAAAGTCCTAATAAATAAACATGAAAAATACAATATTATGTATGTCAAATTAGTTGATTCAAAATTTGATCAAAAGAAAAATACTTCATAATAACGGTGAACCAAGACGACCCATAGAACACTATTTTTTTATCGAATGAAAGTTTCTTGTTTTGGCAATCGCCTACTCCTTTGCAACCTTGTTGTCATTACGAAAATCTAACTACACCATTTGATTTATTTAAGTATTCTCAAATTGTTCTAGATGATGGTAAAATCGAAAAACGATGTATGTAAGTATAAAGTGTTAATATCCTCACCTAGTTTATTAAGACAAGTTTATATATAAAGTAAAAAACGATCATAGATATCGGTATCTATTTTCAATAACAGTATATCGCTATAGACTATAGTTAGTTAAAAATATAAGTATGTTTACTAACTTTCCCATTAATTATTTTATCGTGGTAAGTGGTAACCTTGATTTCTTGACATTATTATGTAACCGATGCGAAATAGTTTCGACATTAATATTGAAAAAAAAAAAGTAATTAAATACTATTAGACCAAAAACCAAATTTCCCAAACAGGTTATAATACGTACCACAAATGATTACATAGGTGAACTTCATCACAATGACAAAAATATACTTAAAACGGTCAAAATGAGTATAACAGTCTAAATGTGTTTTTTTTTTTTTTTCATATAATGTAAAGCTTAAAATGAACTAAATACTAATTTTAAACTGTTTTGAGTGATTGAAATGAGCAAAATTATAATTTTAACCAAAATGACAAAAATAATACGACTGTGTTTTTTTGTACTTGCAATTCCAAATTTGAAATGACCAAAATACTTATTTCTTTAGGTTTTATGTGATTGAAATGAGAAAAATAACCAAAATGGTGTTTTTGACAAAAATGAAAAAAAAAAAAAAAAAAACTGTTAAAAGTTAAATAGATTATTTTTGCATCTATTTATCTAACTAACTCATGTACTTGAGTTTTTGTTGAAATAACAATATACTTCTATCTATTTGTTCACTATGACCAACATGCTTTCATTTCTTAAATGAAAAAAATCAAAAACTTCAAATTTCATATCTTGTAAAATATGATAAATTTCATTATGCCTTTTCTCTGTAAAATTAAAAAAAGCGCATTAATATGATTAATCTTAAGAAATAATTATTGAAGGATTAGCCTTAAATTGCAATACTCTTTTAATTAAGATCCAAAGTAGCATCCAACTCCCTGGTCATCTGTAAGAATTTAGACGTTTTTATTTTGTCATCAAGAAGGTAGGAAAACACACACACACATAAATAAATAAATAAAAAGGAAACTTTCCTTAATGATTCATTATAGGTAGTGAGATTCTGTGAAAGTTGTTTCATGGTTTTAGCAACAAACATAACATCTGTTAGTTTCTTAATATGTAAAACCGAATTACATGAAGGAGCAAAATCTTGAATATTTGGAGCACCAACAACAACAGGAATCGTTCCTATAAAAAAACTCCATGTTGCTTCAATCAATTGGCAATAAAAAAAAGTTCATTGCGAGAAATAGCCACATATTTTAATTGGTTGATTTATTACAACATCCTACTTTCATATATTCATATAACAACATTGTACTCTGAAAAATATACCCAACTTCAAAAGTACGCGTTAATAAGAAAAAAAAAACACTAAAAGTACAATGTTGTGCTCAAAAGAAGGAAAAGTAGGATGCCACAACTAATAACAAACAAATATATGAAAGTATATTGCTATGACTTCCATTTAAT